CATTTACAATTTTTTTCCTGGGGACCCTGTGACACCCCATTGAAGAGCCGTAGGCTGTGGATCTCTTAAGATGTCACTGTTGGTTACTCCATGTTACTCCTAAATTTCTATCTTGTTCAAAGAGAAGATATAAAACAAAGTTCTAAGCTAATCGACTTTAGTGTTCTCCTTTTTTAAAAAGAATCGATAAGAGAATCGATAAAGAATCAAATCGTTAAACAGAATCGAAAATGGAATCGGAATTGTGAAAATCTTATCAATACCCATCACTACTTATGACTTACGTAAAAAGGTGCTCATAACTAGTAATGTTATGATCCATATGAGTGACAGAAGTACTCACCAAGAAGCACATAAAGTCAAGGGCAAGGACAGTAGGCACCCCACCAAAGGGCAAACCCTGGAGTACAGTACTCCTAATTCGAGCAGAGTAACACATTTCCGTAGCGTTATTGCGGGATGGTGCCGCCGATGTTCCAATGCAGCTCACTGTCACCCCCCAGAAGGTTAGTATTAAAATCAATACCTTGTACATCACTGCAGCATGACAAGAACCTGTAAAAAGAAAGATTAATTTTAATTTATTTATTTATTTTTTACACAACCACATAAACTGAAATCATCGGTCACGCCGTCCGTCTATGTCAGCTACTTTCAGAAGACAACATCAGTGTCTGCATAACCACTAAATTATCAGAAATGGAAGGGGGACAACCAGAAAGGCCCTGTCACGCAAGATAATGTCATTTTATTTCCCATTTTAATGACCAGCTGGTGTTTCTGTCATGTCAATAATCACATGTTGGAGAGGCAACTTCTGACCGCACACCAACTGAAATCCTGCTTTTAAAACATAGTACACTTTCTGTTCCCTCTTTACAGACACTTTTGGTGTTAATGATACATATTTAACTTTGTACTGAATTCATGGGAAACAACTGTGGTAAGCACAAATTATACTCTGCGCATCTTGGCAGTCAGCTAGCAGACATTTCCTTTTCCATCCAGCAACAGTAAAGAGACCAACACTGTAATCGCACGAGAGAATTGTTTCTAGACAACATCAAAGTGAGCGCTTACGTCATTGACATGAGTCCAGTCAGGCTTAAAAGATCTGGCCTACTGGGATAAGCCTACCAGTAGCAAAATTTCTCTAATCCATTTCAGAAGGAAACAAACAGCTGACTTAAAAATCTACTTAAAGGATAATGATGAAAAGATACTGACATGTTTAAAAGTCTGAGCGTTATAATGAATTATGGGAGAAGTGTTTCACAGTCTAATCCCCCCAAAAAGGATTTTACTGCAAACATTTCAAAGTGAGTTTAAGTTAAGCTTAATTTTCCTCTCTAGCACACAGAAAAATGATGGATTACTTCAGACTACTTAAGGTAAATATTTGCTGACCCAGAAAAAGGATAACATTTGTCTGGAAATAAATGTAAATTACTACTACTATATCAAATATTAGGGCTGGGGTAAAAGTATTGCCTAGATAAAACACTAGCCATCCATTCAGCGCTTTTACCCTCTAATGAGACTTTAACATATAGAAGCTCTGGACCCACCATGCTACAGAGTTGTCATATAAATGTAAAAATATTACAGCATTCTGGCTGGCAGGGAGGACACAAAACATCATTTTTAAACCTAATTAAACAGGGCAACACATTTAGAAGACTGGTTATTTCACACATACTAACCAAAAAGCTGTTCTGAGAAGAGCTGGAGAGGGCGTTTTCATAGTTGGACTGCTATACTTGTGCCCTTCTACCCACTACTATCAGCAGCAACCACAATGCTGCTCATCTGCCATAACACTAAGTCATTTATCCGCTCCCTGGAATGCTGTGACTTCACTCAAGAGGGACGTAGCCGGAGCTGAACAATACGCCGATAGAGACCACAGAGTTCAACTGGACCGGTCTCAACCCAATGAGGACACAACGCACATGCCCACGGTACATTCAGCAACACTGAACCACTGCAACAGCAGACACCAGCAACTTAAGTATATCAAGAAGAACATACTGTAAGACCTGATATACACATTATATTATATATTATTTGTGATAGTAAGCCTAACAAATCAAGTATTAATTGGATTCTAGAGTGATGTCATCCACCATAATATACAAATCCCACAACTGTATAGATTTACACATCTGACAGTTTAACCAAGTACCGAATGTATTTTGTTATGTAATGTAGTTTAAAATAATCTGAACTCAACCAGTTGTGGGTTGAATCAAATATTGTTGGAAAATGCAAAAAGTTGACAGTTTTTAATAAAGCTTTGAAGTAGAAAGTTGTTGTTGTTGTGTTTTTTTTAACAATACAGTAAAGCTGCAATAAAGAATTTTCTTTTTATGCTTATTTTTGATTATACTATACTAAAAAGGTCTTTGGGGGTAAAAAAAAAAATGTTTTAATGGTGTTACTACACTAGGACTTTTCTAGTTTTACTGACTCAAAGGGCTTCACACTTGCGCGCGGGCATGCGCGCGCGCGCGCACACACACACACACACACACACACACACACACACCTTTGTTATTCACATTTTACTCGCTACTGTCATCTTGTTTCATTAAACCTGCTTTCTTACCCAATTATCTGCATTCACATCACACTGAGGTGTCTGTAAACATAACTTCCCTTCCATTTAGTATTTCTTGTTAAAAATGCATTGACTACACACTGGAATTTCATTGCATTAAGTTTCTTATCAAGCAAAAAAAAGACTGATTACACCGATATACGTATTTGAAGTGCACTTCAACATTGCCTCTAGAGACGTCAAAAGTAAAAAGAAATATTAACTTATTGACAAATCATTATCAAACATCAAGCATTTTATGTGTATTAATTGCTTTTATATGGATTTTAATGTCTGAACGCATTGTAACAGATTTTTGGCTATAACAGTTGTGATTGATATGGAGACAGGATGTGGTGCTCACATGTATTCCATGAGGTCATCGTCTTAATCTTTATTTTCCACCTTCCCTTTACTGTAAACAGTGTGTAACATTAGCTAATACCAGCTTAGAAATAGAGTCTGTGTACATCGACCAGCAGCTTCTTCACATTAGCACAGTGAAACTTGTGGTTGAAAGTTCAAAGGATCAGTAGCATCAGTAATAAAGTGCTTGTGTTCTGTAGAGAACATACAATGTGGACATTTCTTACAATGATATTGCAAGGTTACTTTATTTCATGAAATCCAAAAAAACCCAAACAAAAACAAAACTATAACTGGGGCAATTGTTTCAAACCCAACATGTTATTTAGTAACCCAAGCCATTTTACAATCTGCATTAGGAATGTGCACTTACTGATCCTTGCAAATCACTTCTAGTCATAACCTAGCCCATCTATTCTGTTTAGGATCTATGCTCAGATATCCCATGAAGTGAAGTTCACATTTTGGGCA